AAATATAAATAGTTATCAATAATTAAAAATTTAGTACTACTAACGTAAAATTTTCAGAACTAGATGGCGTAGTTTGAGTTCAATGGGTTCTGGTTGGTTGTTATAACGATAAACTGGGGTTCATTTGGGTTCGGGTTGGGTTTCGTTTAGGTTGGGTATGTTGATTTTTAGTATATTGGATATAAATTTGTTATAGGTTCCTTTGGTTACATCATAAATTACCCATTTACCCTTTGGCTTGCATTTGATTAAACAAGTATCATGTTATTTTTGTGTATATTTATTAAATATATTTAATTAGTATAGTTTGCAATAATAAAAAAGTAACTTGTTAATAGTAATGCTAATATTTTGTGATGATATGCACTTTTACCCTTTTTATGCATACATTAATATCTAAATAAAACAGGTATTTCTAGGAGAAGAGTATTTTATACCAATAGTAGGAATCGAAAATGTAACACTTCAAATCAGTATATAGTAGATATCGGATATAAGCACATCTCATATAAGAAAAAATCGAATATAAGAACGATTATCAAAAAAAAAAACCGAAAACTTCATATAACAAAAACGCGAATAAGAAAAACACTGATAAAAGAAATGTTTGTCAAACACCAAAGGTGACAAAGGTATTTGACACGTTTCATATAAGAAAATATTTAAGATTGATGGCCACACTGAAGATGTTTACCTATTGTTAGTCAAACAATGAACTGATTTTAACTTTGTTATTTTTGTTTATTTAAATTTTTAGTTTTTAAGATACTGAATTTGTTCTTGCTAAACTGTTACTTAATTTAGTAACTTTGTATTTTTCTATACTGAAAAGTTTTATTTAATAAACGATTGTTCTTTAAAACATGCTTTTCATTTAAACATTTTATTTTAAGAAAATATATTCGTATAAGAAATAGATTTCTTATATGCGTATGTACTCTTATAAGAAACAACTTTCTTATATATGACAATTCCATATAAGAAAAGAACGCATATAAGAAAGAAATCTCTGACTTTTTTTTAAGTTTCTTATATCCGATATCTACTGTATATTTACAGTAAGCAACAAATAGGTTTGGAATTTTTTATATATTTTCTTTCCGTATCTATGCAAGTGCAATGCCTAGAAGTATAGAATTTAAAAACTTGGCAGCTAGTAATAGTAATAAGATTTTTTATTTATAAATTTATATATCAAATATGTATAAAAACATGTAAAGAAAGTCAACAGAAATATAAAAAACAATAAAAATTTATCAATAGTTAAACTTCTTAATATTAGTGCCGTAGTGGAATTTATCATTTCGTTTGGATGATTTTGATCTCTAATAGTAATATGATGTGCTCCACATATATCTACATTATTTTCAGGTAGACCTTTATTTAGTTCCATAGAATTTATTGATATATTGTTGGTTACATTTCTTCTCATCAGATCACAGCTACTTGACAAACGTGCATGTTCGACAACTGGGGAATCCCTTCCTTTCCAACAGCAAATTTCAACTCCACAAAAATAGCATACTACCCTATCTCTTTCCCCAGTATAATAAAATCCAATCATAGCCAGCTCTTTGGGTTCCGGAGTTTTCAAGGGCCAGGAATTAAACGTTTTCAATCGTTCGTCTTCATTTTCAAGATTTGCTTCAAGGAAGTTGAATGGTTTTAAATTTGAGAAATTCATCTTTACTGTAAAACTTAAGATTGAACACTAAATAATAATTTCAAAAATCAGTTCCATTTTTATAGAAATAAGTAACAACATATGTTTATGTATTCATTATGTTTTTAATTTTAGTATTTTTCTAATGTACTTAGCACTCTTCTTCATATTGAACATAGAATAAATCGTTCGGTGAAAAAAAAATCTTTTAATTAGAATTTGTATTTATTATATTGACCTATGTATGTATTATTTCCTTTGTATATATTATCATTTCATAGTAATAGGAGTATGTATCAGAGTATGGTATAATTATAGAAGGGCATGCCATAGTTCTACATTAAGACATATGATTCCATTTTTAAAAATTCAGCTTTCAAAATTTACACGTGATTGTAATAACTACAAAATAATTTATTTTCTGCCACATTTTAAAGTTCCTTGCCTTTATATATATATATATATATATATATATATAAATATAAGTTTGAAAAATATATAGTCATATCTTGAGAACAATGTGCATAAAAAATGTGATATGAATTTTATTGATTATAAGTTCATATTAAAAAAATATATTTATACATAGCGTGTGTAATTATAAAACAATAGCCATACAAATTTAAAAACTTTAGAAAATAAATATTTTTATTTTTTTTACATGCATATAATATTATAGAATTTATTTTTCATATTATTTGAAATTGACTACCTTCTACATGTCTAATAATTATATAATTAATATATTATGTCTGCTTCCCGTAGTTCTTCAATAATAGAAACTATCTCATTAGTATAATCATCATTTCCTGATTGATGCAATTCCAATAACAACTTTAGTCTTTCAACTAATACGTTTGGATCATGCCAGTATACATATTCCGGTTTTGCAAGATTAACTTTCATTAGACCATCCTCACTATGTGTACCGCCAATCAATTTTTTTATAATATTCTTATATTTGTAGCCTTTGTTTGGCTTTACTCGTTCATTAGGATTATAATCCACTTTGTATGCATTTGAATTGAATAAAATTTTCTTATAAATCTCCAGTTCGGAAGCATCATAATTTTTTGGCTTTTGATGAAATAGAAGTTCAAACAAGCCTGGCGTAAGTGCCCAATGTTGGTTTCCAATGATAATTTTTTCATTGTTCATTTTTAATGGTTTATCTCCAAATTTCCACTCTCCGTTTATGTCTTTATGTGGACCATATACAGTATCTAGTTTATTAATTTGTTTCAAAAATGAAATATTCATGTTTTCCACATCTTCATCATCATTTTCAGAATAGAATGTTTCGTCTCGTGTTTCATTATAGTTATTAGGTTGGTATTGTGTATAATCTAAATTGAAATCGTCCTCTTCTGGTGTATGTGGTTTTATTTTATCTTCTTTAATTTCTTGTATATAGTTCTTGTTAGGAGTACTAGTATGTGGATGTTCCTTGAACCCATCCACATGTTCAGCATTGTGTATCAAATACTTAGGAACATTTTCACTATTTATTTGAACTAATTTTTGCAGTTCTTCTGTTATGGGTTTAAATGTTCTATTCAGTTCTACCGTTTTTACATCCTCTCCCATTTTGATGCTTTGGAATTTTTTCTTCAGTTCATTTCGGGAACGAACAAGTTTTTTTAACAAATGTTCGTTTTCCATGGTCTCTGTTATACTATTAACCCATGACATATATATACTTTATAAATATTGATTCCTTTCATTATTTATTAATATAAAAAATTTTGATATAATTAATTTAAAGTTGCCATATTGTTCCGTTCATAGATTAGTGGAGATATAGAGTATAAAATTGGCAAGAGAAAACGATACTACGAATAATTTTTACAAGCCTATTTGTTGCTAACTGTAAATATACTTAAATAAAACATCTATTGTATCAAATTTCCGTAATTGATTTAAGTATTGTATTTTCGATCATACCAACGTGCACAAAGTTTTATCATGACAATTAACATGTTACATTTATATTATTGTTACTAATATTAATTAAATATATTTAATAAATATTCAAAAAATAACATGATACTTGTTTAATCAAATGCAAGCAAAAGGGCAAATGGAGAGTTTATGATGCAAGCAAAGGAACTTATAACAAACCTGTACCCAATGTACCATAAATCAACATACCCAACCTAAACGATACCTATATGAACCGAGTTTAACGTTATAACAACCAACCAGAACCCATTGAACTCAACTACATGGACAATTTAACGTTAATAATGCTAACTGCAACTCATGGAATGGGTTTGATATTTGTTTCCTTATTATTGAAGGTAATATAAAGTAAAATCTTATAATATAGTTTTTATTAAAATAAAACTATGAAAGCAATACATATTAGATACAATTTTGCTATTCATTACCTTTAATGTACGTCTCATTTGCATTCAATGTCTACACAACATTTGTTATATTTTTTTTATACCCTCCACCATAGTATGGAGGGTATATTAATTTTGTCATTCCGTTTGTAACACATCGAAATATTCATTTCCGACCCTATAAAGTATATATATTCTTGATCACGGTAAAATTCTAAGACGATCTAGCCATGTCCGTCCGTCTGTTGTAATCACGCTATCTTTTGAAGGAATTGAGATAGGGTGCTGAAATTTTGCACAAAGTTGTCTTTTGTCTGCAGGCAGGTCAAGTTCGAAGATGGGATATATCGGTCCACGTTTGGGCATAGCTCCCATATAAGGGTACCCCCCAATTTTCGGTATTTTGAGGTTCCTGAGCATGTTTTTCAACCGAATTCGCTGAAATTTGGTACTTTGAGCTCTTATTGGGAAGCAAATCTCCCTACTAAAATTATAAATATAAGTCAATTTTTTCTGGTACCCCCCATATAACGGTACCCCCAATTTTCCGTATTTTAAGGTACTTGAGCGCGGTTTTCAACCAAATTCGCTGAAATTTGGTACTTTGAACTCTTGTTGGGAAGCAAATCTCCCTACTAAAAATTATAAATATAGGTCAATTTTTTCTGGTACCCCCCATATAACGGTACCCCCAATTTTCGGAATTTTAAGGTTCTTGAGCGCGGTTTTCAACCGAATTCGCTGAAATTTGGCACATTGGGTTCTTAATAGGTTCCAAATCTCCCCACCAAAAATTATGAATATAGGTCAATTTTTTCGGATAGCCCCCATATAAGAATACCCCCAATTTTCGGTATTTGGGGGTTCTTGAGCGCATTTTTCAACCGAATTTGCTGCAATTTGGTAATTTGTAGTCGTATATGGTAACAAATCTCTCTACCAAAAATGTTTAATATTCGCTATATAACCCCCGATATAACCCCCTTTTTATACCCTCCACCATAGTATGGAGGGTATATTAATTTTGTCATTCCGTTTGTAGCACATCGAAATATTCATTTCCGACCCTATAAAGTATATATATTCTTGATCAGGGTAAAATTCTAAGACGATCTAGCCATGTCCGTCCGTCTGTCCGTCCGTCTGTTGTAATCACGCTATCTTCTGAAGGAATTGAGATAGGGTGCTGAAATTTTGCACAAAGTAGTCTTTTGTCTGCAGGCAAGTCAAGTTCGAAGATGGGATATATCGGTCCACGTTTAGGCATAGCTCCCATATAAGGGTACCCCCCAATTTTCGGTATTTTGAGGTTCTTGAGCGTGTTTTTCAACCGAATTCGCTGAAATTTGGTACTTTGAGCTCTTATTGGGAAACAAATCTCCCTACTAAAAATTATAAATATAGGTCAATTTTTTCTGGTACCCCCCATATAACGGTACCCCCAATTTTCGGTATTTTAAGGTTCTTGAGCGCGGTTTTCAACCAAATTCGCTGAAATTTGGTATTTTGAGCTCTTGTTGGGAAGCAAATCTCCCTACTAAAAATTATAAATATAGGTCAATTTTTTCTGGTACCCCCATATAACGGTACCCCCAATTTTCGGAATTTTAAGGTTCTTGAGCGCGGTTTTCAACCGAATTCGCTGAAATTTGGCACATTGGGTTCTTAATAGGTTCCAGATCTCTCCACCAAAAATTATGAATATAGGTCAATTTTTTCGGATAGCCCCCATATAAGAATACCCCCAATTTTCGGTATTTGGGGGTTCTTGAGCGCATTTTTCAACCGAATTTGCTGCAATTTGGTAATTTTTAGTCGTATATGGTAACAAATCTCTCTACCAAAAATGTTTAATATTCGCTATATAACCCCCGATATAACCCCATTTTTTATATTAAAATAGTTATCTGATTTGTTCCGCGTTTTGAGTTTGGTTGTAAGACTCTTTTGTAATCATTTCACCTGCGGAAGATAGAGAGATAAACAATTAGAACGTAAGGTTTGATAATGAACTATAGCCGCATTTAGATCTAGCCCCTATGTGGAGGTTTCAGAAGAAGTGGACCGATATTCTCCATCTTCGATTTTGAATTATCAATTAAAATTTTCTGAAATTTGTATTATGGTTTACATTATGGTATACATAATCCGTTTTTAGACATGTCGGTATAGGTCCACTTTTTGGTATGCTCCCTTTATTTTCATTTCTGGTACCTGTCAGTATATCCATGGTGGAGGGTATCCAAAGTTCAGCCCGGACGAACTTAACGCTTTTTCACTTGATTATATTTTCATGCGAAGATAAAATATATAAAAAGTCTATAGTCTATTTGTTGCTAACATTAAATATACCACCTATTACTTCATTCAAAGATGGGAATGTTCAAACAAAACACCTATTGCAAAACACCTATTGATTTAAAGTGTTGTATTTTCGATCCCTACTATTCATTACTGTTTTTAATTAAATTAATTTGCACATAAAAAGGGTATAAGTGCAGAATTACTATTAACATGTTACATTAATATTATTGTTATCAATATAAATTAAATACATTTAATAGATAGACACAAGATAACATGATACTTGTTTAATCAAATGCAAGTCAAAAAGGAACTGTGTAATTTATCATGGAATCAAAGGAAACTATATCAAATCTGCACCCAATGTACTATAAATCCATATACCCAACCTAAACGAAACCCAACCCCAACCCAAATGAATAGTTTAGGATCAGGATATGGTAAGGGCCAACAATCAAATGTTTTCCATCATTCATTTTCATTATTAAGGAGAGACATCTTTATTGTAAAGCTTCATTAACCAAATGTAATGTTGAAAAAATAATTTTCCCTAATTTTAAAAAATAAAACATCAGTTTTATTTTATATTTTTTATTTATTTTATTGTGTTAAATATGGTTGGTAAACGAAATTTGATTCAGTTTGCTTTAATTGTACTCTATATAAATTATTTTCTTTGTCGCTTAATGACAACTTCGATATGCTATATCCACCAGAACCCAATTCCTTTACATTATCATCCTTTAGTGTTAGAAACCGGGGTGGTAAATATAATATAGCATCTTCCAACTTCAGCACAATTCTATCTCCGTACTTAGTTTGGGTCCTATATGCATCATTGATTATATATTCCTTATTTTCATCCAATTCCTTAATTCTTATAATTCTCTTATAATTAAAGGAATTGAATAAATTGATTAAGTTCGCAATAGAAGCCATCGCTTTCCCTATCTATTTCACACTGTTTTATATAAAAGTTTATTAACTTATTTATATTAAATTTAAATGTTCTATTGATGTTATTTACATGCAATTTTTTATAATTTATTTCCTTATTTAATCACACAAGCGAGCTGATTTTTTCACCTCTGGATTTATTCCATCCCAATGAAATAACAATTGATTTGTTTATAGTTTTTATTATTTTTTATATTGCTTTCAAAAATCTTGAGGAATATTTTGTATACAAGAGGCAAATATAGGGCAAAAACAAAAACAAAAACAAAGAAGTGAAAAACCGTTAAGTTTGGCCGGGCCGAACTTTGAATACCCTCCACCATAGATATACTGATAGAAAATATAGGGAACATACTAAAAAGTGGACCTATACCGACATGTCTAAAAACGGATTTTGTAGACCATAATACAAATGTCAGAAATTTCTCATTGATAATTCAAATTCGAAAATGGGGAATATCGGTCCACTCCTCCTCAAACTTCCACACAGGGACTAGGTCTAAATGCGGCTATAGTTTATTATCGAACCTTAAGTTCTTATTTTTTATCTCGCTATCCTCCGCAGGTGAAATGATTACCATAGAGTCTTAGAACTAAACTCAAAACGCGGAACAAATCAGATAACTATTTTGATATAAAAAAGGGGGTTATATGGTGACTACTATAAAAAGGGGGCGAATATTAATAATTTTTGGTAGAGAGATTTGTTATCATATACGACTACTAAATACCAAATTGTAGCAAATTCGTTTTTTCCTTATTTAAACACACAAGCGAGCTGATTTATATTTTCACCTCTGGATTTATTCCATCCCAATGATTATTTTTATATTGCTTTAAAAAATCTTTAGGAATATTTTGTATACAACAGGCAAATATAAGGCACAAAAAAATAAAAAAAAACTCTTTTGACTACAGGCGACAAATATTGAAAAACAACAACATGTACACAACAAAAAGATCGATTAAGATGACCACAGAATTTTGGGTACGCAGGCATGTTGTTGATAAAAGCTAAAGACCGATGGGTGCCCCAAAAATATGCTTCAATGGACAGACATTTCATCTTGGAAATTCTAACAAACTACAAACAGTGGATTCATATTGGAAACAACAATAACCAAAGACCTGATCAGTAGTTTCAAGAGACAGACGAACTTCAAATATTAGAAACAATAATCATATTACAGATAATCAATGGTGGGACAGACATATGGTCTTGGTAGAATCTATAGACCGATGGGCGCCTCTCCAATCATAGCAACAAACACTTGCTGATAAGAGACTTAAGAATCAAATTGGCTCAATGGACAGACATTGCATCTTGTAAATTCTAACAAATTCTTTCTGATAAGACACCCATGATCGGATTGAGTCTTGTTCCAATAGACAATCATATGAGACACTGCTTCATGTATTTCACAATATTGTGCAACCAAGAAAAAACAAGTGGGTAGAGAAGGGGGATAAATGTAGGCAAGAGCGGTGGCCGCACTGCGACACTGCATCACGAAAACAAGTGAATAGGGAAGGAGGGGGGACACATATAAGCTTACCGAAAAAATACGGAAGAAAGGGGGGAAGAACAAATATGGGACACAAGCGGTAGAAGAAAATATTATATCAAAACTACTTCTTTATTTTTTATAATAATATTTCTAATCTTCAAACCATGGATCATTAGGATCCAATGTCCATAGGGATTGTCCTTCAGGTATGAATGGGTAACTTTCTATGTCCTCCTCATTCCTGATGTCCTCCTCATTCCTGATGCCCTCCTCATTTCCGATGTCCTCATCATCGTCTAATGTTGTGGACTCCGTTTCCTCAGTTTGTGTGTACTCATCGCTGCTCCCTGCTTCGAATCCATCTTCAATCTTAAGTTTATTTGTTATGGATTCCAGCTCTCCTTGTTTCGCTCTGTTGTGTTGTTGTTGTTCTTGTTCATAACCTTTTTTTATTCTGTCGAATCCTTCTAAATGTTCGTTTTCCTCCTCAATGAAAACGTTCAAATATTGGTTGTTCAGCTCCATTTTCTTCACTATTTTTTCAATTTCACTTAATGTGGAGATTTTTTAAACTGAATGCATTTTTTAAATTTTCCTTCGCTTTTAAACATTATATTTGTTTACATTAAATAACTGATTGATAAGGATCAATCATATAATGCTTCCCAAAATAAAAATAAATATAGTATTTTCTATCATAGAAATTTAATTGCAGCATGATTATCATAGAACAAAGTATTAGTAAGAAAGAGAAATAGTTTGTTAACAATTCACCTATTATATTTAGGTACGTTTTCATTTTGTGTTCTTATATATTAATAAATTTTGATAAAATCATTTTTAAGAAGTAAATAATATGTATAAATTTAATAAAAAAAAATGTAGATATGTACAAGTTGCAATTATTTCCATAAATAGTGGTAAAAACTATGTTTGATATGATTATATGATATATATATATATGATTTATATTAATAAATTTTGATAAAATCATTTTTAAGAAGTAAATAATATGTATAAATTTAATAAAAATATGTAGATATGTACAAGTTGCAATTATTTCCATAAATGGTGGTAAAAACTATGTTTGATATGAATGCCTTTTTTGTTTTATAAAAATGTATAATTTAACGGGTTTACCTTTAGTTAAGTGGTGGGGGTGGGTTCATAATCCAACAAAATGCAGATTTGTAATGCAATTTTGAAATGGAAACAGACTGGAAAGAATGCTTAGTTTTCTATCAGTGTTTCTCTACTGCTTTCTAAAAAGTATCGATATGGTGAAGTTGCTTTAAGATCAATATATAATAAAATGGGTAAAATGAAGATAAAAATTTGTCCACAAAAAATATTGGTCCGTAGGCCATATTTTTGATGAATTAATAATGATGGATGATGTCTTCTTACAAACTAATTTAGATTTAGAATACACAAATACAGATATTTTTATATATAGGACAAATTATGAAAAAATAAAGCTTAATTATACTACAAGAAAGGTTAAGTGAGATTGGGGCATGGTGTCACAAAATAAATTGCTGCTTTAGAAATCAGCATCCAATGTGAAAACATTGTCCAAACGATTGGCTGTCACACCCCATTTTTATACCCTCCACCATAGTATGGAGGGTATATTAGTTTTGTTTTTCCGTTTGTAACGCATCGAAATAATCATTTCCGACCCTATAAAGTATATATATTCTTGATCAGCATAAAATTCTATGACGATCTAAGCATGTCCGTCTGTCCGTATGTCCGTCTGTTGTAATCACTCTAACGTCTAAACGAGTTGAGATAGATCGCCAAAATTTTGCACAGAGTCGTCTTTTGTCTGCAGGCAGGTCAAGTTCGAAGATGGGATATATCGGTCCACGTTTAGGCATAGCTCCCATATAAGGGTACCCCCAAATTTTCGGTATTTTGGTTCGGTATTTTGGTTTTTGAGCGTGGTTTCCAACCGAATTCGCTGAAATTTGCTACATTGGGTTTGTATTGGGTACTAAATGTCTCCACAAAAAATTATAAATATAGGTCCATATTTTGGGATATTTTGGGGGGTTTGATCGCATTTTTCGACAGAATTCGTTGAAATTCAGTACTTTGAGTTCTAATTGGGTAGCAAATCTCTATACGAAAAATTATAAACATATGTAAATTTTTTCGGGTAGCCCCCATATAAGGGTACCCCCCAATTTTCGGTATTTTAGGGTTCTTGAGCGCGGTTTTCAACCGAATTCGCTGAAATTTTGTACATCGGGTTATTATCGGGTACCAACTATCCCTACTAAAAATCATAAACATAGGTCCACTTTTTCTGGTAGCCCCCATATAAGGGTACTTCCCAATTTCCAGTTTTTGAGGGGTTTTGACCAAATTTTTTCACCGAATTGGCTGTAATTTAGTAATTTGAGTTCGTATTGGATATCACATCTCTTCACAAAAAATTATAAATATAGGTCAACTTTTTCAGGTAGCCCCCATATAAGGGTACCAGAAATTTTCGATATTTTGAGGTTCTTGAGCGCATTTTTCAACTGAATTCGCTGAAATTTGGTATTTTGTACTCGTATATGGTAATAAATCTCCCCACCAAAAATTATTAATATTCACCCCTCTTTAGGGGTAGTCCCCATATAACCCCCTTTTTATACCCTCCACCATAGTATGGAGGGTATATTAGTTTTGTTTTTCCGTTTGTAACGCATCGAAATAATCATTTCCGACCCTATAAAGTATATATATTCTTGATCAGCATAAAATTCTATGACGATCTAAGCATGTCCGTCTGTCCGTCTGTACGTCTGTTGTAATCACTCTAACGTCTAAACGAGTTGTGATAGATCGCCAAAATTTTGCACAGAGTCGTCTTTTGTCTGCAGGCAGGTCAAGTTCGAAGATGGGATATATCGGTCCACGTTTAGGCATAGCTCCCATATAAGGGTACCCCCAAATTTTCGGTATTTTGGTTCGGTATTTTGGTTTTTGAGCGTGGTTTTCAACCGAATTCGCTGAAATTTGCTACATTGGGTTTGTATTGGGTACTAAATGTCTCCACAAAAAATTATAAATATAGGTCCATATTTTGGGATAGCCTCCATATAAGGGTACCCCCAATTTTTCGGTATTTTGGGGGGTTTGATCGCATTTTTCGACAGAATTCGTTGAAATTCAGTACTTTGAGTTCTAATTGGGTAGCAAATCTCTATACGAAAAATTATAAATATATGTAAATTTTTTCGGGTAGCCCCCATATAAGGGTACCCCCCAATTTTCGGTATTTTAGGGTTCTTGAGCGCGGTTTTCAACCGAATTCGCTGAAATTTTGTACATCGGGTTATTATCGGGTACCAACTATCCCTACTAACTAATCATAAACATAGGTCCACTTTTTCTGGTAGCCCCCATATAAGGGTACTTCCCAATTTCCAGTTTTTGAGGGGTTTTGACCAAATTTTTTCACCGAATTGGCTGTAATTTAGTAATTTGAGTTCGTATTGGATAGCACATCTCTTCACAAAAAATTATAAATATAGGTCAACTTTTTCAGGTAGCCCCCATATAAGGGTACCAGAAATTTTCGATATTTTGAGGTTCTTGAGCGCATTTTTCAACTGAATTCGCTGAAATTTGGTATTTTGTACCCGTATATGGTAACAAATCTCCCCACCAAAAATTATTAATATTCACCCCTCTTTAGGGGTAGTCCCCATATAACCCCCTTTTTATATTAAAATAGTTATCTGATTTGTTCTGTGTTGCGGTTGGGTAGTAGTTACGGGGAATAGTCAATTTTTACCCCACAAAGACCTTCTAAAGATACTGTGATAAAAAACTCAAATATGACGATAATGAAATATATTGGTAGATATTTACGCATCTCCTCAAAATAGTGATACCTCCTGAAGGAAAGAATTGGCATAAACAATTAATATATTGGGTTCAAAATTGGTATATACCGGACATTAATTAGGCATAGCCCTCATGATATCCCCAAATATTCACTATTTCCTACACTATATAATCAATATTGGGCCCCCTTTTAGGCATACCCTTTGTAGTCTAAATTACAGTAGTGTGAGGATTTTATACTCTACCATGCGTTACCACTTTTTGGATCTTACAGATTTTAGGAAAAATCCCCATTAAAAATTGCTGAAGTTGGTATTTGGTGTACATAATGGTTTGCATAAATCGGTTTGTAGAATTATCATAATATGGCCACTTTTTGGTATGTTCCCTACATTTTCATTACATGTATCTGTCAGTATAACTATGGTGGAGGGTATCCAAAGTTCGGCCCGGCCGAACATAACGCTTTTTTACTTGTTTGATATTCACCTACTTTGCGTTCAAAGAAATTTGTTTTGCCATCATTTCTATGAATGGGAAGGGATTCTTGGTATTGTAGATTCTGCCAACATCCAATTCAACCAGCAGACGATCGGCCACAAATTCAATGTATTCCGACATTAGTTCACAGTTCATGCCAATCGAGTTGCAGGGCAATGCTTCTGTCAGGAATTCTTGTTCAATTTTAACAGCCTCTCTGATGATTTCAATGATACGCTCTCGGCTGGGTTTCTGTACCAGATATTTGAACATTAAGACGGCAAAATCACAATGCAAACCTTCGTCACGAGAAATCAGTTCATTGGAGAATGTCAAGCCGGGCATAAGGCCACGCTTCTTAAGCCAAAAGATGGAGGCAAAACTGCCACTGAAAAAGATGCCCTCAACGGCGGCAAAGGCGATGACACGTTCACCGAAATTGGCCGATTTTGATGCTGGCATTGTTCCAATGGCATTGAATAGATATTCACGTTGATCGCGTTCCTTGATGTATGTGTCGATAAGAATGCTATACATTTCCGAGTGAACATTTTCCATGGCTATCTGGAAGCCGTAGAAGCAACGGGCTTCTGTCACTTGGACCTCCTGTGAGAAGCGTTCAACCAAATTCTCGTTAACAATGCCATCGGAGGCGGCGAAAAAGGCCAGAACATGGGAAATGAAAAAGCGTTCATTGTCTGTTAGTTTTTCCCAATCTGTTAAATCTTTGAAGAGGTCAACTTCTTCCACGGTCCAAAATGAAGCTTCAGCCTTTTTGTACATCTGCCAAATATCCAAATATTGTATTGGGAATATAACAAAACGTTTGGGATTTTCCTTTAGCAGGGGTTTAATAGACGGATCAAAGGGAACAGCAGGTCGGTCGGCCAAAGACGTGCCAGCAATATTGCTTGTAGTAGTGGTATTTGTTGTTGCTTCCTTGTTGGGTACGGGTTCATCAGTACCAATGGACATTTTACATACATTATTAACATTCTCGGCAAGAATTTTACGTGGACTCTTCAAACCAAATTTATCCATGTTTTCAATATTTTCTTTAACAGCAGCAAAAGCAGACGACATGTTACAAGTATTTAATATTTTATAGTTAATTACAAAATGCTTACAGTTCAAGCTACAAAGTCAGAATATTTTATTATATTTTCTCAATATGCATAAATATATTTATTCACCATCTACGCTTATGCTAGAAAATGTATAGTTTTCAAATGAAATGCATTGACAACTATAAAAATAAATTAAACTAAAGAAAATTAAAATGTCATGAAATAATGATCATGCAAATATTGTTCTTGAATTCATGTTAGAAACAACAAAAAACAATGTATGTTGCATTCAACTCAATAGTCAGAGTAAAACAACAAACTAAAATTTGTGCATCCAACACTTGATCAATACTTTAAAGAGACAGGCTTACTTCAAATATTAGAAACAATAATAATTTTACAGATAATCAATGGTGGGGCTGACATATGGTCTTGGTAGAATCTATAGACCGATGGGCGCCTCTCCAACCATAGCAACAAACACTTGCTGATAAGAGACTTAAGATTCAAATTGGCTCAATGGACAGACATTGCATCTTGTAAATTCTAACAAATTCTTTCTGATAAGACACCCATGATCGGATTGAGTGTTGTTCCAATAGACAATCATATCAGACACTGCTTCATGTATTTCACAATATTGTGCAACCAAGGAAAAACAAGTAGGTAGAGAAGGGGGGATAAATGTAGGCAAGAGCGGTGGCCGCACTGCGACACTGCATCACGAAAACAAGTGAGGAGGGAAGAGGGGGGACACTTACAGAAAAAATACGGAAGAAAGGGGGGAAGAACACATATGGGACACAAGCGGTATTGATACAGGGTCATCAAGGTCATACGAATGGACCACATTGGACAAGACAAAAAAGAAAACAAGTGAAAAAGCGGTAAGCTCGGCCGGGCCGAACTTTGGATACCCTCCACCATAGATATATTGACAGGTACTATAAATGAAAATATAGGGAACATACCAAAAAGTGCACCTATACCGACATTTCTAAAAACGGATTATGTAAACCATAATACAAATTTTAGAAAATTTTAAAGGATAATTATACCCTCAGCCTTATGGCTAATTAGTGTGTATACACTTTCACACGGTGAAAATGTGCCTCATCGAAATATTGGTTCTAGACCCCATGTTTCTTTGGACCAAATCCGTTTCAGAAAATTTAGATTTCATCCGAACTTTGCCCATCTTATTATTTTTTCCAAACTTAGTTCAAATTCGAAGATGGGGAATATCGGTCCACTCCTTCTGGAACCTCCAATCAGGGGCTAGGTCTAAATGCGGCTATAGTTCACTACCGAACCTAACGTTCTAATTTTTTATCTCTCTATCCTCCGCAGTTGAAATGATTACAAAAGGGTCTTAGAACCAAACCCAAAACGCGCAACAAATCAGATAAATATTTTAATATAAAAAAGGGGGTATATGGGGACTACCCCAAAAAGGGGGCGAATATTAATAATTTTTGGTAGGGAGATTTGTTACCATATACCACTACAAAATACCAAATTGCAGCAAATTCGGTTGAAAACGGCGCTCAAGAACCCCAAAATACCGAAAATTGGGGGTACCCTTATATGGGGGCTATCCGAAAAAATGGACCTTTATTCATAATATTTTGTGGAGAGATTTGGAAACTATTAAGAACTCAATGTACCAAATTTCAGCGTATTCGGTAGAAAAACGCGCTCAAGAACCCCAAAATACCAAAAATTGGGGGGTATCCGTATATGGGGGATATGCGATAAAATTGACCTATATTTATAATTTTTTGTGGAGAGATTTTGTACCTATTAAGAACCCAATGTATTAAATTTCAGCGTATTCGGTTGAAAAACGCGCTCAAGAACCCCAAAATACCGAAAATTGGGGGTACCCTTATATGGGGGCTATCCGAAAAAATTGACCTATATTCATAATATTTTGTGGAGAGATTTGGAAACTATTAAGAACTCAATGTACCAAATTTCAGCGTATTCGGTAGAAAAACGCGCTCAAGAACCCCAAAATACCAAAAATTGGGGGGTATCCGTATATGGGGGATATCCGAAAAAATTGACCTATATTTATAATTTTTTGTGGAGAGATTTTGTACCTATTAACAACCCAATGTATTAAATTTCAGCGTATTCGGTTGAAAAACGCGCTCAAGAACCCCAAAATACCGAAAATTGGGGGTACCCTTATATGGGGGCTATCCGAAAAAATGTACCTATATACATAATTTTTTGTAGAGAGATTTGGTACCTATTAGGAACTCAAAATACTAAATTACAGCCAATTCGGTGGAAAAATACGATCAAAACCCCCAAAATACTGAAAATTAGGAGGTACCGTTATATGGGGGCTACCAGAAAAAGTGGACCTATATTTATAATTTTTTGTGGAAACATTCAGTACCCAATAAGAACTCAATGTACCAATTTTCAGCGTATTCGGTTGAAAAACGAGCTCAAGAACCCCAAAATACCGAAATTTGGGAGGTACTGTTATATGGGAGCTATGCCTACACGTGGACCGATATATCCCATCTTCGAACTTGACCTGCCTGCAGACAAAAGACAACCCTATGCAAAATTTCAGCACCCTATCTCAATTCCTTCAGAAGATAGCGTGATTACAACAGACGGACGGACGGACAGACGGACGGACGGACATGGCTAGATCGTCTTAGAATTTTACCCTGATCAAGAATATATATACTTTATAGGGTCGGAAATGAGTATTTCGATGTGTTACAAACGGAATGACAAAATTAATATACCCTCCATACTATGGTGGAGGGTATAACAAGTGGATAGGGAAAGGGGAAACACACATAAGCTTACGGGAAATATACGGAAAAAAGGGGGGAAAGAACAAATATGGGACACACGCGCTATTGATTTCGGGACCAATAAACTTTCAGGGTCATCAAGGTCATACAAATGGACCACATTGGGCAAAGACGAAAGAAAATATTGAACAGACGGACGGCAATTACGTCATTTGCGTAAAGCAATTATCATAAATCAATTATAAATGCACCACATTAGGGAAAGACGAAAGAAAATATTGAACAGACGGACGGCATAAAACAATAAGAGGGAAAGAGAGAGAACACAATATGATCACACAACACACCAAGAGGAAAAGAGATGGATGAGTCATCAATACAGACCGATTACGTCATTTGTATAAAGCAATTAACATAAATCAATTTCCGTCTGTTGTAATCACGCTATCTTTCGAAGGAATTGAGATAGGGTGCTGAAATTTTGCATAGGGTTGTCTTTTGTCTGCAAGCAGGTCAAGTTCGAAGATGGGATATATCGGTCTACGTTTAGGCATAGCTCCCATTTTTACCATTTCTTGAGCGCGTTTTCAACCGAATTCGCTGAAATTTGGTACATTGGGTTCTTTCTGGATACTAAATGTCTCCACAAAAAATTATAAATATAGGTCAACCGCGTTTTTCAACCGAATTCGCTGCAATTTGGTATTTTGTAGTCGTATATGGTAACAAATATCTCTACCAAAAATTATTAATATTCGCCCCCCTTTTTGGGGTAGTCCCCATACAACCCCCTTTTTATACCCTCCACCATAGTATGGAGGGTATATTAATTTTGTCATTCCGTTTGTAACTCACCGAAATATTCATTTCCGACCCTATAAAGTATATATATTCTTGATCAGGGTAAAATTCTAAGACGATCTAGCCATGTCCGTCCGTATGTCCGTCTGTCCGTCTGTTGTAATCACGCTATCTTTCGAAGGGATTGAGATAGGGTGCTGAAAATTTGCATAGGGTTGTCTTTTGTCTGCAGGCAGGTCAAGTTCTAAAATGGGATATATCGGTTTACGTTTAGGGTACCCCCCAATGTTCTGTATTTTGGGGTTCTTGAGCGCGTTTTTCAACCGAATTCGCTGAAATTTTGTACATTGGGTTCTTTCTGGGTACTAAATGTTTCGGGTAGCCCAATTTTCGGTGTTTTAGGTGTTTTGGTCGTATTTTTCCACCGAATTGGCTGTAATTGTGTACTTTAAATTCTTAATAGGTTCCAAATCACTCCACAAAAATTATGAATACAGGTCCATTTTTTCTGGTAGCCCCCCATATAAGGGTACCACCAAATTTCGGTACTTTGGGGTTCTTGAGCGCGTTTTTCAACTGAATTTAATTTTTTATCTCTCTATCCTCCGCAGTTGAAATGATTACAAAAGGGTCTTAGAACCAAACCCAAAACGCGCAACAAATCAGATAAATATTTTAATATAAAAAAGGGGGTATATGGGGACTACCCCAAAAAGGGGGCGAATATTAATAATTTTTGGTAGGGAGATTTGTTACCATATACCACTACAAAATACCAAATTGCAGCAAATTCGGTTGAAAACGGCGCTCAAGAACCCCAAAATACCGAAAATTGGGGGTACCCTTATATGGGGGCTATCCGAAAAAATGGACCTTTATTCATAATATTTTGTGGAGAGATTTGGAAACTATTAAGAACTCAATGTACCAAATTTCAGCGTATTCGGTAGAAAAACGCGCTCAAGAACCCCAAAATACCAAAAATTGGGGGGTATCCGTATATGGGGGATATCCGAAAAAATTGACCTATATTTATAATTTTTTGTGGAGAGATTTTGTACCTATTAAGAACCCAATGTATTAAATTTCAGCGTATTCGGTTGAAAAACGCGCTCAAGAACCCCAAAATACCGAAAATTGGGGGTACCCTTATATGGGGGCTATCCGAAAAAATGTACCTATATACATAATTTTTTGTAGAGAGATTTGGTACCTATTAGGAACTCAAAATACTAAATTACAGCCAATTCGGTGGAAAAATACGATCAAAACCCCCAAAATACTGAAAATTAGGAGGTACCGTTATATGGGGGCTACCAGAAAAAGTGGACCTATATTTATAATTTTTTGTGGAAACATTCAGTACCCAATAAGAACTCAATGTACCAATTTTCAGCGTATTCGGTTGAAAAACGAGCTCAAGAACCCCAAAATACCGAAATTTGGGAGGTACTGTTATATGGGAGCTATGCCTACACGTGGACCGATATATCCCATCTTCGAACTTGACCTGCCTGCAGACAAAAGACAACCCTATGCAAAATTTCAGCACCCTATCTCAATTCCTTCAGAAGATAGCGTGATTACAACAGACGGACGGACGGACAGACGGACGGACGGACATGGCTAGATCGTCTTAGAATTTTACCCTGATCAAGAATATATATACTTTATAGGGTCGGAAATGAGTATTTCGATGTGTTACAAACGGAATGACAAAATTAATATACCCTCCATACTATGGTGGAGGGTATAACAAGTGGATAGGGAAAGGGGGAAACACACATAAGCTTACGGGAAATATACGGAAAAAAGGGGGGAAAGAACAAATATGGGACACACGCGCTATTGATTTCGGGACCAATAAACTTTCAGGGTCATCAAGGTCATACAAATGGACCACATTGGGCAAAGACGAAAGAAAATATTGAACAGACGGACGGCAATTACGTCATTTGCGTAAAGCAATTATCATAAATCAATTATAAATGCACCACATTAGGGAAAGACGAAAGAAAATATTGAACAGACGGACGGCATAAAACAATAAGAGGGAAAGAGAGAGAACACAATATGATCACACAACACACCAAGAGGAAAAGAGATGGATGAGTCATCAATACAGACCGATTACGTCATTTGTATAAAGCAATTAACATAAATCAATTTCCGTCTGTTGTAATCACGCTATCTTTCGAAGGAATTGAGATAGGGTGCTGAAATTTTGCATAGGGTTGTCTTTTGTCTGCAAGCAGGTCAAGTTCGAAGATGGGATATATCGGTCTACGTTTAGGCATAGCTCCCATTTTTACCATTTCTTGAGCGCGTTTTCAACCGAATTCGCTGAAATTTGGTACATTGGGTTCTTTCTGGATACTAAATGTCTCCACAAAAAATTATAAATATATTTCAACCGCGTTTTTCAACCGAATTCGCTGCAATTTGGTATTTTGTAGTCGTATATGGTAACAAATATCTCTACCAAAAATTATTAATATTCGCCCCCCTTTTTGGGGTAGTCCCCATACAACCCCCTTTTTATACCCTCCACCATAGTATGGAGGGTATATTAATTTTGTCATTCCGTTTGTAACTCACCGAAATATTCATTTCCGACCCTATAAAGTATATATATTCTTGATCAGGGTAAAATTCTAAGACGATCTAGCCATGTCCGTCCGTATGTCCGTCTGTCCGTCTGTTGTAATCACGCTATCTTTCGAAGGGATTGAGATAGGGTGCTGAAAATTTGCATAGGGTTGTCTTTTGTCTGCAGGCAGGTCAAGTTCTAAAATGGGATATATCGGTTTACGTTTAGGGTACCCCCCAATGTTCTGTATTTTGGGGTTCTTGAGCGCGTTTTTCAACCGAATTCGCTGAAATTTTGTACATTGGGTTCTTTCTGGGTACTAAATGTTTCGGGTAGCCCAATTTTCGGTGTTTTAGGTGTTTTGGTCGTATTTTTCCACCGAATTGGCTGTAATTGTGTACTTTAAATTCTTAATAGGTTCCAAATCACTCCACAAAAATTATGAATACAGGTCCATTTTTTCTGGTAGCCCCCCATATAAGGGTACCACCAAATTTCGGTACTTTGGGGTTCTTGAGCGCGTTTTTCAACTGAATTCGCTGAAATTTGGTACAATGGGTTCTTATTGGGTACCAAATATCTCCACTAAAAATTATTAATATAAGTCCACTTTTTCTGGTAGCTCCCATATAAGGGTACCCCCAAATTTCGGTATCTTGGGGTTCTTGAGCGCGTTTTTGAACTGAATCCGCTGAAATTTGGTATTTTGTAGCCGTATATGAAAACAAATCTCCCTACAAAAATTATTAATAGTCAACCCCTTTTAGGCGTAGTCCCCATATAACCCCATTTTTTATATTAATATAATTCTCTGATTTGTCCGCGTTTTGGGTTTGGTTCTAACACTTTGTTGTAATCATTTCACCTGCGAAGGATATCGAGATTAAAAACTAAAAAGTACGGTTCGATAATGAACTATATGTGAACTATAGCCCGCATTTAGGCTTAGCCGTAGCCCCTGTGTAGGAGGTTTCAGAAGGAATGGACCGATATTCCCCATCTTCGAATTTGAATTATCAATTAAAAATCTCTGAAATTTGTATTATGGCTGACATTATGGTTTACATAATCCGTTTTTAGACATGTCGGTATAGGTCCACTTTGTGGTATGTCCCGTATATTTTCATTTCTAGTACCTGTCAGTATATCTATGGTGGAGGGTATCCAAAGTTCGGCCCAGCGGAACATAAAGCTTTTACACTTGTTATATGTGTGTTTGTTTAAATTTTTTAAAAATTTGTAATATTATTTTAACATCAACAGTTTAACATAATAAATATTTTGTAACTTAAAAAGGACGTCTAGTGACGGCCATCTCATAACGGAAAATTCCATTGAATTGCATTTTAGCTGATAATCGATTGCGCTGATCGGAAAAATGTATTGCATAAGACTTCCTGTACATACATCATAAAAAACAAGAGCATTCTAATAATGGATATATGAAATTCGTTTTTTATATGGTACCTGTATGTGGTTTTGTAATATATATCCCAAAATCATAAAACTACTTTTTTCATATCCGCGTAATTTGTACACTTCTTTTCATGAATAAGCAGGTAATAATTATGTTGATTGTGTGACAATCACCAAATTTTGAACATTTTTGCTAAAATATCCAAAAAGTATGAATCATAGATGGAAGCAGGTATAATTTTTTTAAGGAAAAAAATTTCATACTAACATTTTACAAGAAGATCTACTAATATTATAGGAAATATCGTGTTCGTTGTGTAAATTAATGCACACTTTATCCAAAGTGGCCAAAATACCTACATTTTGTAATTGCAAATAAAGTTATATTCATTTTTATACCCTCCACCATAGTATGGAGGGTGTATTAATTTTGTCATTCCGTTTGTAACTCACCGAAATTTTCATTTTCGACCCTATAAAGTATATATATTCTTGATCAGGGTGCAATTCTAAGACGATCTAGCCATGTCCGTCCGTCCGTCTGTTGTAATCACGCTATCTTTCAAAGGAATTGAGATAGGGTGCTGAAATTTTGCATAGGGTTGTCTTTTGTCTGCAGGCAGGTCAAGTTCGAAGATGGGATATATCGGCCTACGTTTAGGCATAGCTCCTATATAAGGGTACCCGCCAAATTTCGGTATTTTAGGGTTCTTGACCGCGTTTTTCAGCCGAATTCGAGAAATTTGGTACATTGGGTTCTTACTGGATACTAAATGTATCCACAAAAAACTATAAGTATAGGTCCCCATGTCCGTATTTTTGGGTTCTTGAGCGCGTTTTTCAACCTAAATCGCTGCAATTTGGTATTTTGTAGTCGTATATGGTAACAAATATATATACCAAAAATTATTAATACTCGGCCCCGTTTTGGGGTAGTCCCCATAAAACCACCTTTTTATACCCTTCACCATAGTATGGAGGGTATATTAATTTTGTCATTCCGTTTGTAACAAATATCTCCACTAAAAATTATAAATATAAGTCTATTTTTTCTGGTAGCCCCCATATAAAGGTACCCCCAAATTTCGGCATTTTGAGGTTCTTGAGCGCGTTTTCAACCTAAATAACTGAAATTTGGTATTTTGTAGCCGTATATGAAAACAAATCTCCCTAC